GCGCTCTCGCGTACACAGTAGCAGCGTTTACGCTCGTGTACATAAATATGGGCCGTTCCGCCGAAACTTGGTGGTATATTTGAGAGGGACAGTATATTGTCCCTCGTGTATTCACAAGCATATTATATATTATACCGTTGAAAGTGAAAATGGACAAATCCCATGGGTTTTTAATGTACACTTATACACGTTACTGTTGTATACCCGACCGGTTTATACGTGTCGTAAAAGTATATATATATATTATTTAAACCCTATACTCTCTTTGATCTGGAGATCAGTGCGTGTATTATATATACTTACAGGTCCCATGCCAATAATACGCTCCCCAGGAAATTATTATGCTATGCGTTAAAAAGCTCTCTTTTGTATATAATGTATATACGGTTAAATTGTGTCGTTGGCTTTAATTTTATATGCATACTTGAAAAATTTCATTTACATATTAGATGACTTTTCCGAATAACTCGTTTTTTTTTTCCAAGTATACGATAGTCACAAGTCCCATTTTCGAGGAAAAGTCATTCAATCGAAGAAGAAACAAAAATCATGAATGAAAAGATTTTTTTTTTTACTTGTCTTTTCTCTTGTGTCGAAAGTTCTGTTGTGTAGGTTAATAAGTACGTGTGGTGTTACACTGTACACAACGAGGTGGCAAAGAGTTCAGGATCTCAAATTAGCGCTCATTATAGGTAATTCACAGGTGTACAGCTTTTTCAATTTCAATGATCCCAAACTAATTTCTTCTGAAAAATCAATGCTTCATACATATACTACTCTTTTTGGATATTGTTTTTCTACCGCCTATGATTTTGAAGTGATGAATTTTCAAAGTTCTTTTTTTAAACGAAATAACTTGCAATAACGTGTATCACTCAAAGTAGTGTTTATTTTGTAAAAAATTTTGTAAAACTGAAGTCGAAAGGGTTAGCCGCGAGGCTACCATAAATGGTGAAAAAAAAAAAAAAAAAAAAAAAAAAAACATCGATCCTCATATCGCTCTAGTTTCGTCGGAACGACCCGTATACATACAAGTATACCCCACACTCCCCGACAGTCTCCTCGCGGCGACAACTATACTCGATAAAAAGGAAGGTGCACACACACACACACACACACACGCCAGTATAATCATGACGACATCGCTCAAGGCTCTCTCTTTTCTTACTCCGCGCTCTGCGTACATTACACGCACGCGTATAGCTCCATCGACGGCTACGCTATACACACACAGCTCTACAATACTATATTCCACTCTCCTCCTCCTCCTCCCCCTTCGGGAGATAACAATTAAAGATCCGCGCGCGCGTTACCGAAAAAAAGAGCCCCGGCCTCGCATCAGTCGCACACACGCGCGCACACTCCGCTCTCGGGAACAGTCGTCATCGCGTCATTTAATCGTGCACATGTATATATAAATACATGGATGTACACTGTAGCCTATACGTCCCCCTTATCCGCTATCTTCTTCTTCTTCTTCTTCTCCTCCGCGCTAGGACTCGCACAGCTGCGTGCCTCCGCTATACCTCATATGTATACACATAATAACAGCTCCACACACACACACATAGAGAGAGAGAGAGAGAGAGAGATTTAAGAAAGACGGAGCACTGAGAGCGCGCTCTTTCGCTCACTCGTTCTCGCGATTTACCCGAGATACACTTCTTGTGTATCGGAGCAACACACACACATACAGAGAGAGAGAGCGGAGGAGGAAGCACACACACGCACACAAAGTCGTACATTGAGGGGGGGTGGGGTGAGGGAGCGCGAGAGAGGGGGAGGAAGGGAGCTCCTTATTTGGCAGAGCCCCTCTTATCATCAGGTTTCACACGGCGGCGGCGACGACGCTCCGCTGCTGCTCTCTACTGCCGGTCTTTCCTTGTATATCTTTTTTTTTCACTCTCTCTCTCTTCGTCTTCCTCCATCCCACATAATATGTGTTATACCTATACACACATACATTATTTACTGCTCATACCGTGGATATAACATATAATGTATAATTATTCATGTGAGCACCTAATGCTCCAAAATCTCTATTTATATATATATATATATATGTATGTATGTGTATGTATGATGTACCATCCGCGTGAACTTAATTACTATATTGTACGCACGTACTCTGCGCAATTGGTTGTGTGGTATAATATCTGGATCTAGCAAATGACGGCACACACTTTTTTTTTTTTTTTTTTTTTCTCTAGCCGTTTGTGTGCCATGTGATGTATACAGCACAGCGAGAGATAGAGAGAACGTCTCTCTGGGAGGCATTAGGCGCCGTTAGCTCCATCGCGCGCGCGCTTTCCTTTTTTGTTCCTTTCTTTATCTCCCCCTCCCCCCTCCTAGCTCGCTAACTCCCGCCTTTCCATCCCCCCCCCCTCCCTGGCGCGTCCGATCGTCATCAGCTTCCGAAATTAGACGTGATATCAAACCGACCCGAAAATTCCTGATTACGAAAATTTCCGACCTATTTTCATGCTCTCCTCCCGTCTAAACCCACGCACCCCCCCTTCCCACCGGTGTACCTATATATATAAGTGTTGTATACACGAGAGCGAGAGACAACGCGTGAATCATCGTCGATCGGTGAGCGCTGCAACCGACAGAGAGAGAGATTATGAAACTGTCGCCTATACATCGTCATCTCCGAACTATCGATACTTACCACCCGTAATGTATATACGTATACGTTTATTAATTATGTCACACTACCGGTCGCGGATGCTCTTATTTCGTGCTTTTTTTTGTTTTTTGTTTTTTATAATTAAGTATAGTGTCCGATGTAATGTGTGTACGTGTACGCGCGCTCGCGCAAATAAGAGCACGCGACCCAAGATCTTTATGTATACATGTATAAACGGGATAAAATACATTTGCGAACGCCGCGCGCGATTTTATATACGTATATATATATATATACACGTACGAGGTGCGCGCGTGTAATCCGAACGCGAAAATTTCACGTTAAGAATGCAGCGCGTTTCACAATCGGCCGAACGAAATACTTAGGGTCATTGTTCCGTCCATTGAATGGAGAGTCCGTGTCTGTACTAACTCAATTGTAAGTATATGGGTGTGCAGTGTGCATGTGTGTGCGTGTGTGTGTGTGTGTCTGATACATCCATACGCGCACACGTAGATCTTTGTATCAAAGTGCCAAAGTGGGCTCGACTCGAGAAGAGAAAGAGACAGGCCTCGTTTAGGCTCCACGCGCTATGAACACACGTGTAGAGTTAACGACGACGCAGCTTTATTGTGTACATATATATATTCGAGGTGGACGGGGGGGGGGTCACCGCGGAGTATAATGTTGCTGCGCGTACAGTCGTCCAATTCATCAGCAGAGCGATTCCATCCTCGATTATAATAGATCCTTGGAGGATGTTGTCCCGTCGGTGTGTGCAATATCGTGAGGAATACCTATATATATATATTATGCGAAGAAAAGAAAAATCATCGGCGGCGTCGTGTGTGCCATCATCGTCTAAACGTATAAATATTTAAAGCCAAAGCCGCCTTTGATACCGTCCCGCCTGAGAATTCTATATATATATAGGTATTCTCCCCTCCCTTCCCATCGCCAGTGGTACAGCAGCATCTTTTGCTCGTAATACACGCTTATCAAATTTCGTATACGTTTATCAGTTCGCGTTACACATTACACTACTCACTTTCTAAAACATTACATGTACAACCATCGGCTATTGCCTGGATGTGTATATAGATATATTGTACGTGTATCTCAGTCTCTCGTTGTTTTTATCTCGCGCGCGCTCACGTACCGCCGGTGAAAGTGTGCCGATCCACGAAAAATACATGAGTATACACATATTTATACACTGTATATAACAACCCGGATGATTAATCGCGATGATCCAGTTCCGCGTCTCTCTCTCTCTTCCGATTACCTCAGCAGCCTCGCCGTATCATATTATTATTATTATTGTATATCAATCGAAATGAGCAGTCCACGTTGAGCGAAACGGTTTTCAGGGCGACTGTGACACCCTATACGCAGCCAAAAGGCAGACCTCCGATAGATAAGTGGGTATCAAAGTCGCTTGGCACGAAATCCCGCCAATATATATATATATCCGCGGTAGAGGGAGCGTCGCCTAGATTAGCCGCTATCTCCGCCTCTCGCGCCAGGGATTTTAAGAAAAGCACGGCTCTCTCTCTCGGGGAGGAGGGGGGGGGGTCCGATGTTTGTGCGCGCGTTCAATACGATCTTTCGTTTCGGTGCAGCTTGCGGGTTAAAAATAACGCACCCCATGCGATGGGGGGCTTTCGTCGTCGTCGTCGGGCTGCCCCCGAGCAGAGATAAGCTAAAGTTAAACGCGACCAAAGACTATATAAATGCCAGAGAGAGAGAGAGAGAGAGCTGCGCGACAGATGGCGAAAAATATATACTTACTCGCATTTTTGCAGCCGCCGCCGGAGCTATACATTATATACGTATACGTGTGATATCGATGCGCGTGTCGTCCTTTTGCACTCTTTTATCCAATCCCCCCCCCACTTCTATATGCTACCTCGTTGCATCGTTCTTTTATTTAAATCTGAGAAGAAATAAGAAAAAAAAAGAGAGGATAATAGATTGATTGGCTCGTAACGCGGTTACATGTATATTTATATATTCTTTTGCATTTCCTTTCGATGAAGCAGCGTGTATTCGGGTCACCATACACAGAGGCTCTTCTTCTTCTTCTTCTTCTTCTTTTTTTCTTTTTGACCTTCGTCCATATGGACATTTTTAGTTTGCGGAATAATTTAATTGTAGTTTCGCCTTGGTGAAATACAATAAACAATAATTAATATTGCATGTTTATGTATACATATAACACCTACACTGTATGTTAAAACAAAGTGACGTGTGGGGGGGGGTATAATATACTTGGGTGTATGTGCGATAAGTATATAATATGGCGTAAGTGTTGAGCACATACACGTAATGAGGGGGTAGTAGTAATAATAATAATAATAAATGGTTGCAGGTGAAGGATGGGGACCCGCTGCCGGCGGTCATATGCCACCGTTGCGTCCGAAGGCTCGACGAGATGCACTCGTTCAGGGAGACGGCCAAAAAGGCGGAAACCGTGCTCAACAAGTACCTCGAGATCGCCAAGCGCTTCCCTAGCCAGAATGACATGGTACGTACACACCTCTATACTTTATATTGTCCCCGGGATTAGTTTTTTTTTTTTTTTTTTTTTTTTTCCCTCAAAATCACATCACGTTTTTTAAAATATGAAAACTCTCCCGTGTCTGTGGTATCACCGGAAAGGACTGTTTCGTATATATGAATGAAAAGTCGATCCAAGCGAACGAGAAGCGCAACCATGAATGCTGCCATTATAATAATATATACACACAGAGTTCCGCAAGTGCGCGCGGGTGTAATTATTTTCCGCAACGTGAAAGAGCACCATTAGCACTCTGTACGTGCATATATATATATATATAACGCCACTGGGCGGAGTGCTGGAGGGATTACACTCATTCATCCGAGCCTTCGTATACATATATAAATACTTACTTGGGTACTACACGCCACCGCTCTCCCGTGATAATTGGAACGAGCTTCTTCTCCTCTCCTTTTTCAATCAATTTAGCGTGTGTGTGTTTGGTTCTTTTTCACATTATCACCCCTAAGATACTTGCCCCATATTTTTATCGTTTCTCCCGTTCGAGCACATCGCCCGCGGAATTAAAACCAAACGATACGAAAACATTTAATCAACAAACATTGTTTTTTTTTTTTATATTGCGCGTAAGTAGTAATTATTCCGCTCGGCGAGGATGTATATAATATTGGCCGTCACGCGCATGTTGTTTTTTTTTTTATTACAAAATTATATCTGAGGCGCAATGACGCGTAATTCACACGGTAGGATGGATACGAACAAAAAAAAACACTATACCTACGCGCGAACACGTAAGTATATTCTTATCAGAGAGGCCTGCATAGCAAATTGGCGCGTGATCTCACCGCGGTGCAGCGGTATATTGTAACGTGCGCGCCGTGTCCTTAAAAATCAAAGGCTCGCCGCCGCGGTGTATAGGCACGAGCTCCGATAAGATAGCCATCACTCGCGGGAGGCTCATTATACCCCGGGGAGAGCGCAAGGACTCCGTCCCCTTACGCAACGAGCTCTCCTTTTAAAGCTCCCCGTCAACGCCGCGCGTCCGAGTTCCTCTCGGGTTTTGACAATACGAAAATACGTCGCGTTTCCTCGGGGGCGGCTAGAAGAAGAACAAAAAAAACAAATAACCATACGCTAACGCGTTGTTCCTGCCTACTTGTGTGTTAATGAGCTCGAGTCGTCGTCGTCCACAAAGGCAATTAATCAACCGGTGTGTGATTATTTATTTGTGAAAGAACGACAAGAACAATAGTTTTTTTTCTTTTTATTACATGAAGAACAAGCGAGTTGCGGGCACATGCATCAATATTGATGCTCAAACATGTTGTGCGTTTTTAAATATTCATCCGTGCGCGATTTAATACTATAATAAATATATAGTGGGTTGATCGCCTGTCTGTTGCAGGTACATAATGAAATGAATACCGTCCCCGGCCCGATTTGCAGCGACAGAGGCTATTCTTTTTTTTTTCTTTCTTTCTTTTTCACGAAACTTTTCGTAACGTCTTGTTTTTTTCCGATACGGCGTAAGCACATACGAAACGTACAAACCGGGAATTTCGCCGAGCTCAGCGAGCAATACAAGAAAAGACACTCGATAAAATAACTCGCCCACCGGCTTATCGGGCACAATTGCCTCCCTCGTTTGCGTCATTACTCGGAAGCTAAGAGTACGCGTCAGCTCGATTTCCCGCGCGTCGTCGCTTTTTTTTTTTTTTTTTTTTTTCCACGAGGCTTACCCCGTGTGGGAGAGACGAAAGTCCATCTGGTGATTACTGCACCATCATGCCCGTTGGTATTGTTTCAAGCAGTAATAATGTTTTCGTTTGTCCGGCACAGGAGAAGAAGATCGCCGAGTCGGGCGAGCTGAGGGCCGAGCTGGCCCAGGTGCACGACTACGTGACCCACAACCAGGAGATCTACAACGACGAGACGAGCTCGCCGTCCAACATAAGTCCCTCGATAAAGACCAGTCCGACGTATCACCTGGAGAACGCCCCGAACGTCCTGAACGACATGCAGGACGACGAGGAGGAGGTGTCCTCCCTGGACTCGGACCCGGGTAGGCTCGAGATCGAGATGGGCGAGGAGCCCGAGAGGCCCAACAGCCGCGAGCACCACCCCAACGGCCACGACATGAGCATCAAGAGGCCGACTGTCGTTATCAAGGAGGAGAGGGTCAGTCCCGAGAGATTGCCGCCACCTACCACCTCGACGACGATCAAGATGATGGGGCCCCAGGACAACAGCAACGCCGTCAGTCCCCTCAGTCGCATGGACACGCCCGAGAGCAACTGCTCCGACGCGCCGGTCGACCAACAGGAGAACACAAAGCTGTGGCAGGCGCTCGCCCACAGGTGTGACGCTCATTTTACCTTAGTATTCATTGTCTCGACCGTCCGGTGCAATTTGTGCTCTTTCGACGAAAAGTTGTACTTTTAGGGAGGGACGGGGGGTGGGGGCACATTATTTTGGTGGGAGAGCTATACCTGTAGGCTAGTATGGCCGTGAAGTAAGGGTCAGTCGTAGTGACATTTCAGCTACGCTCGGCCGATTAGCACTTGGATCGTTGTGTATGATTGTGTGCGCGTGTGAGAGGGTTCGTTGTACGTAGGATATCCGGACCGATGCCGTGGTGTGGTTCTACTGATTTGAAGGAGATGCAGGTTGCCCTGAGCTTTGCACACGCGTTAACGAGTAGATTTCTTTTGGCCCAGTGGACGTGGGTGTTTTATTTATTGAATTTTTTTTTTTTTTTTTTTTTTTTTTTTTTCCAATCGAATCGCTCGTCGTGTTTCTCAACTCTCTGCATGCAGGGCGCGCACAAAACATCACACAGGTGAGCGCGCCTTTCTTTGCATACATATACAACGCGGGCACAACATGGGCTTGTAAGTACCTATATGTATATGCTCTCTTAAAAGGGCGATTTCGCGGGGATAAGATAGCGGAGCCGTAGATTTGGGTGCCGATATTTCGGAGTCGGAGTACCTATACACACACACACACACACACACACACACACACGTATACAATATATGTACTTAGATAGAAAAAGAGAGGAGAGAGAGAGAGCAGCTGTAGAGGGAATTGTTGCTGGGAAGAGTAGAGTAGAGTAGAGTAGAGTAGAGTGTATTTATTTAAGCTAAGGACCCACGGTCCGTATTAGCCTAGGCTCAAGTCTTTGCAAGACTGCTAAAAGTAGTATTTACAATGTTAGTGAAGAGAGAGAGATAGATAGATAGAGGGAGAGAGATACTGGGTCATTGGCTTCGATGAAAGTTTGAGGCCTGCCATCCACGGTATAGGGTATAGGTAATAAGGGCAAACTCCACACACACACACACACACACACACACACACACCACGGAGAGCGGCTCTATATTATATTATGTATATATTATGCTATATACACGAGTGAGGGAAATCTGTTACATTATTCTGGCTCTCCGGCAGCAGAGAACGCTCGCTCGCGCGCGCGCGCGTGTGTGTACACCCGTGTACACCTTCCGTCTAATGCGCCGAGAGAAACGCTATACTATATATATAGACGTGGTGTGTGTTATATAAGAGAAAAGTTAATCTTGTAAAACTTGGCGCAACACACACACTCTATATATATATATTATAATCAGTTGTGTGTGTGTGTGTGTGTGTGTGTGCGCATGGCGCCCCGGTGCATGCATGTATGTATATAAAATATGTACCATAATGTAATGTATAGGTGTACATTGAAAAACCACGGGTGTTTGCGCGACTCGCGACAGAGAGATTGACACGGACAAATTGAAGCTGATGTGTGTGTGTGTATGTTTGTCGAGGCCGCGTCTCTCTCTCTCTCTTCGATAACGAAGATGAAGGAATCGAGGAAAAAGAGCGTGGGAGGAGAGAGAGAGAGAGGGAGAGAGAGGAAAACAAAGTGAAACCGCGGGTATATTAGAGAGAGAGGATAAGACAACGGACGACGGAGACGTTGTTCGTGTATTTTGTTAGATGAACAAAAAAGATCTATATGTGAATATTTATAATGTGCGAGCTTACGGTATGTCCAAATTAAAATTAGGAGAGTATAGCTCGCACACACTTTTCCTCGTTGCGTGTATACCCATACTTACTATATATATACACGTAATCTCTTGGAAATCCAAGCGCTCTCGCGTACACAGTAGCAGCGTTTACGCTCGTGTACATAAATATGGGCCGTTCCGCCGAAACTTGGTGGTATATTTGAGAGGGACAGTATATTGTCCCTCGTGTATTCACAAGCATATTATATATTATACCGTTGAAAGTGAAAATGGACAAATCCCATGGGTTTTTAATGTACACTTATACACGTTACTGTTGTATACCCGACCGGTTTATACGTGTCGTAAAAGTATATATATATATTATTTAAACCCTATACTCTCTTTGATCTGGAGATCAGTGCGTGTATTATATATACTTACAGGTCCCATGCCAATAATACGCTCCCCAGGAAATTATTATGCTATGCGTTAAAAAGCTCTCTTTTGTATATAATGTATATACGGTTAAATTGTGTCGTTGGCTTTAATTTTATATGCATACTTGAAAAATTTCATTTACATATTAGATGACTTTTCCGAATAACTCGTTTTTTTTTTCCAAGTATACGATAGTCACAAGTCCCATTTTCGAGGAAAAGTCATTCAATCGAAGAAGAAACAAAAATCATGAATGAAAAGATTTTTTTTTTTACTTGTCTTTTCTCTTGTGTCGAAAGTTCTGTTGTGTAGGTTAATAAGTACGTGTGGTGTTACACTGTACACAACGAGGTGGCAAAGAGTTCAGGATCTCAAATTAGCGCTCATTATAGGTAATTCACAGGTGTACAGCTTTTTCAATTTCAATGATCCCAAACTAATTTCTTCTGAAAAATCAATGCTTCATACATATACTACTCTTTTTGGATATTGTTTTTCTACCGCCTATGATTTTGAAGTGATGAATTTTCAAAGTTCTTTTTTTAAACGAAATAACTTGCAATAACGTGTATCACTCAAAGTAGTGTTTATTTTGTAAAAAATTTTGTAAAACTGAAGTCGAAAGGGTTAGCCGCGAGGCTACCATAAATGGTGAAAAAAAAAAAAAAAAAAAAAAAAAAAAAACATCGATCCTCATATCGCTCTAGTTTCGTCGGAACGACCCGTATACATACAAGTATACCCCACACTCCCCGACAGTCTCCTCGCGGCGACAACTATACTCGATAAAAAGGAAGNAAAAAAAAAACCGAGAGTCGGCTGCTAATGAATGCGAGAATTAATTCCGAGTAGCCAATTAAAAGATGTTTTTTTTCCCCCTTTGGCTGTTATCGCTTGGAAAATACAGCGTTAGTTTTATATCGAACGTAACGAGAGACGCGGAAATTGGGGCTTTTCGCTACTCCCACTCGATGCACCTGCGTATATACTGTATTTTTACAGTACAGTTGCAAGCGTCCGAGCTCCCATTGATAAATCAACGCACGCGCGCGTCGTATACGTGTGTACTTTCGCGTTATCGTTTTGCACAATGGCTTCCTGTTTGTCCGCGGTATCGGATTCTCTCCCTCCTTCTTGAGTTCTGGTGCACGAGAAAGAAGAGGAAAAAAAAAAAAAAAAAAACAGCTGCTTTTCGATCTGTCAGGACCTCCTTACGGTGTACAAAATATATATACATGTGTATACATACACGTACAATGTAATCCAAGAAAAGCCAGGCCTAAAAGTTAAAGTTTCATCCGGTCCCTCTCTCTTTTAAGCGCAACACACGGCCAAGAGCCCCCCCCCTCCCCCGACATCTGGGAGGTTGCAGTCTACCGCCACCGCCGACGTCGTCTCCTCTCCGATCCAGTTCTCAAGACCTTTTGCTCGTGTTTCCTTAATTCTATATCTCTCTATTATCTCCTTCTCTCCCTCCCTTCGTATTCTCTTTCCCAACTCCTCTTCTTCTTCCCTCTCGCAACTTAAATTTACATTTCGATCAACGTTATAACACGAGAGGGAAAAAGAAGCATTTTTTTTTTTTATTTCTTCCAACACTTGTTTATCCGAACTCTCGTGTCGAACACGTTTTTCAATTGATAAAACGAGTCAACGCGCCATCAGAGGTGATGATACCTCGCGTGTGTGCATACACACACATACACACACATGGGACTTTGACTCGATCGAGGATGTCATAAATTTTTCCCGGGTAAACTTCGTCCATTATACTTACTACCTGCACACAAACGTCCCCGTAAATCGAGACACGCGCCTCCGCACTCCCTGCGATGTATGTACAACACGCAGTGGACACGCGATACTCGCACACTAATGTTTTGCTCGCTATTTTGTAACATGTCGGTTGTTTTTGTCTTATCTCCAATTGTAGAAACGACTAACTGTACTCCAAAAGATATCGGAGATTCCTCTCGCGGCTTGCCCAACGTGTATATAAATATACATGCTCGTGTATATCCCACGATTGCGCTAGGGTTTTCCAACTCTCCTAATCTCTCGCGCGTTACGTTTAGGTAATATTAGTTGTACGCGGTACACGCACATACCTATATATATATATATNGCCCAACGTGTATATAAATATACATGCTCGTGTATATCCCACGATTGCGCTAGGGTTTTCCAACTCTCCTAATCTCTCGCGCGTTACGTTTAGGTAATATTAGTTGTACGCGGTACACGCACATACCTATATATATATATATATATATACGAACGGTATAAATACATGTATATATATATTATACATAGCGAGCGTCATGGAAATAAATTGGAGCGACGAATGTTAATTGCGTCACAAAAACCCACGACTCGGGCTCTCCTTCTCCTCGTCGCTGTCGAAAAGGCGCTCTAATTTTTTTTTCCTCCTTTTCTCGTTTTTAATGATACCCGGGACTTTCTCTCCCGCGCGCGCTTAGTCATAATTTTTTTTTTTTTTTTTATCTCTCTTGCTCTCGCGCGCGTGTACCTGTATATGTATACTTATGTACACACATGTAACTCGAAAACATTAAAAAAAAAAAAAAAAAAAAAAACAATATCAAAGAGGAACAGAGTTATCGATCCTTTTTATCAATGCTGGAAACAGGAAAAAAAAAAAAAGAGCACACGTTAAATTTCGTTCATACTATNAAAAAAAAAAAAAAAAAAAAATACCTATATCAAAGAGGAACAGAGTTATCGATCCTTTTTATCAATGCTGGAAACAGGAAAAAAAAAAAAAGAGCACACGTTAAATTTCGTTCATACTATAATATATAGGGCGTATGTGTGGGAACTTATCAACGTCAGCCGAGCAATGTAGTAGACAGTGTCGCCGGGGTTAAAAGAAAGGGCTCGAGAGAACGAAACAAACGGAATAAAAGACGAAATTACTCTCCGCACAAAGCAGAGAGAGAGAGAGAGAGAGCAGCCCGTGACCGGAAGTTCGGCAAAACGTATCGTGGGCTCCTTTGAAAGCCCTTCTCGATTGCTCGAAAGAAGAGAGTTAAAAATTCTCCCAAACGAACAATGAAGAGAAAAAGAGCGATCGGGAGAGCTGAGCTGGGGTAGAGGGAAGTTGATAAAGGAATCGCTCCCCTCGCTCTCTCCTTCTTGCGTGTATATATAGTGGCCGGCCTCATTATCATTCCCATGCTTCTCCTCCTCCTCCTCCTCCTCCTCTTGTTATTATTGTTTTTTTTTTCATTTTACACGCATGTACCCTTTGCCCAGGAAACTCTTTTTCTCGCGCCACGGACAACCAAACGGAAGCACGAGTTTTTTTGTTTTCTCCTTCCCTCGTTTGAGATAGAAAATCAGTTATCACGAGCTGCAGATACCAGAACCTCGGAGCGGCTCAACAATATACAGATCACAGGAACCCCCTCTCTCTGCCGACGCTTCCCTCCCTTTTTTTTTTTCTCTCGGTTCAATGGCAAAATCGGTACCCCTCTCTCGCCATATATGTATATATATCTATACACAAGCGGCAGTGCACCGAAAGAAAGAAAAGAAGGGAGAGAGAGAGAAAGAAAAAAAAACAGCAAAACTCTATACCTAGCCGAGCAAGACTGCGGAGAGAAGGAAAAAAAAGGGGGGGGAACCCTTCCCCGACAAAAGCCCTTTTACGCATACATACCTCCCTTATAATACACGTACTCTAAAACGGCACGCATGAAAGAGAATCCGAGACGACGACGTAGGTATACGTAAAGTACACACGTGCTGTAAGTATATGTATCCTACCTGCAGCACGCGTTGACAAAATATATACATATATATATATATACATACCCGTATGTAGGAGCATATATACAGACATACTCTCCCTCCGTTTTTCGAGCACCGCACACAACAAGCAAGTACGGTTTATATAAGGGTTGGTGGTGTACATATATATATATTAAACGAAGAAGAGCCGCGACTACACATACATATTCGCTGCCGCGGCGCACACATACCTGTTACTACACTATCGCACAGAGACCGCGAGAGAGGGTTAAGGGGGGGGGCGGTAGGGGTAGGGGGCAGAGAGAGAGAGAGAGAAAGTTTGGCACACACGGGTAGATGTGCCCGCGAGATAAGCCTCGGCCCCGCTCTCNTTTGAGACTTGCGTGTACACTTGGTCGACTGGATTTGACCGTTTTTTTTGTTTTTTTTCCTTGTTCCGTACAGCCATCGAGAATTGGAGATCAGACGTGCCAACGGTGAGATGCTGTCGGCGCCGATGGCTCACTTGAGCAACGGCATCGATGCCACCTCGTCGCCTGCCCTGCGCAGTTACCTCAACAACTACAGTACCCACCAGATGAGCACCCTGGAGGCGGCCAACGCTCTGGTCCACGTGGCGAACGGGGCACCGGCACCACGACACACGAACCAGGCCCTTCCCAACAGGCCGAGGGTCATGTCGTGGGCCAACGAGACCGGCATGGGCATCATCGGCTGTAGGCTTATGGTGAGTACCGATAATTTAAATAGTTTTTTCACCAGTCGTTGCTTCTTTTCGCCCAATTGTCATTTCGATGGAAATCCTTTGACACAATATACGTTTTCCCGATGAGCGTGCGAAAGCCACAATTTTTCCAGTGCAAAAATCCAAGAAGGAGATAAGAGTATCGAGGAAAATGCATCGGCCAAATAAGCCAATAAAAGTCACGTGTGCGCTATACGTACACTTTGTACCAGCCACCGTTTGCTTATCTCGGGCTTTCACGTGCTTGGCTTTCAAAGTTTTCCAACGCAGCTCTTGACTCTTTGGAAAATGTCCTTACCTACACCGAATGAACCACCGGCCGAAACAATATCCCAACACAACTGTCGAGGACAAACAATTTCCGCCCCGGCACAGTACAAGCGAGCGAAAGAGTGACACAATAAAAAAAAAAAAAAAAAGAAAAAAAAAGAGCCAGAACAACACGAGCAAAGCCGGGATTCCGTGAATCGCAACTATACGTGGCCGAGATTTTCCGGGTCCTCGTCGCAAACGCGCGGCATCATCCTATATGCACCTCCTGGCATTATCATTCACGCAGGCACCTTTTCACCCCTCCCCCGCGTCCCTTCCCCCACGCGTGGCAACAATAAAAAGAAGACCTTGCTTCCCCTCCTTTACACGTATTCAAAAGGGAAAAAAGGCGAATGGAAAAATCTTTTTCTCTCCCTCCCTCGCCACAGCATCCATCCATCCATCCGAGAGAGCACTGCTGTCACAGTCCTCGCAACAATATTGTGCGCATCCGTGAAAAAATGCGCGACGGAGGGAAGATAAAAAGCCACACACACACACACACAAACACACACACACACACACACATGTACCAGATTTACTTTTTTCGAATATCAAAGAGCGACGAAACAGCAGGCCATTGGTAGATGTATACACATAAAACGCGCGCGTATGTGTGTGTATGACAAGCCAAGCTGACAAAAGGTGCGAGAAGAAGAAGAAGAAGAAGGAGACAGAGAGAGAGAGAGAGAGAGAGGTGTATATAGTATGGGAATCCTTTAAAAATCGCTCTCGGACTTATCTAAATACCTACATCTGTTAACAGCAGCCGCAGGAGCACACACGCACACACGCTCGTCCTTCCCTTTCTTTTTCCCCTGATGCTTGTATTCGTCCGTCCCTCCCTCGTTTAGTCTTTCCTTTCGGGGAATCGCTTATCCGGCTCTCGCTTTCACGCTCTGGCCCCGCTATATATATATTAGAATTAAGCCGCATATACTACAAGTATATGATATATATATATACATATACATATACATCCTACGTTATAAACCATCTCATTTTTTCGTTATCGTTCCACTTTTACGTTGTTCCACGCGCTCCTCCGTACCTCTTATCATCCATCACCATCGTTGTTCGTAAGAATCGAAATTGAACGGCTTTCCCCTCCCACGCTCAAAATCCATCCGATCCTCCGCGCCTATTTTTTACATATATACATAAAGTTGATCGGCTAAACGGTACGTGTGTATACGTGGTACCGATTTTCGTTTCGCTTCTCCGCCGATCGCTTCCAAACAAAAGCCATCACCGGGAGAAACTCTTTTTCTGTTTTGTTTACAAGTACCTACATATACGCATATAGATACAATGCGTCCTCTCTCTCTCTCTCTCTCCATTTATTTATAGAAAAAAAATACGCTCATTACTAGTACTTACGTTTGCAGATAATAGTATATAGCTCCTCGAGATCGGCGTTACAACAGAACCGATCGCCCGTACAAAAATATACCTACGCTTGGTTTTTCGTCCCTCCTCCTCCTCCTACCTGTGTGTGTATAATATATACCTACGTGTACTCTGTTTTTTTTTCTACCTCGTCATTTGAAAGAGAAGAGAGAGAGAGCGAGAGCCGAATCAGAGGAAGGATAAGGCGAGCAGACCCGGCTCGGGTTTTGTGTGTTCGGCTCCTCTCCCTCTCTCTCTCACGTATATACAGGCTATCACAAAGGAAGCTTTTCGGGGTTGCCTGTGCGTGTCTGTGCTCTCTCTCTCTCTCTCTCTCTATCTATTATCTGTTCCCCGGCTGGCAGCTTGGCCGTCAGCTCCTCTTCTCTTATATATACCTGCAGCAAAGGGCAGGTGGGACCCGGCTCTCGATACCCACAGAGGGATGAGTCCCCTTGCCTTGTGCTCCGGGTATCACTGGATACGCCGTCCTCGGTATATATATACACACGCCCATGTCCGAGTGGCTTCTAAGGACCTTATGCACGCATATCGCCCGTGCTCGTATATTATTTTATTACACGTATACGTATACATATATACAGTCGTCGTTGTCATCTGGCAAATCTACCTACCGTATACAAGTATTAGAGGTATAGGTGTACACTCCTCGGGGGATCGTCAACGTTGACGCGCCCCGGCCGAGGTCGTAAAATTATATTGCAAGCCCCCCCCTCCCCTCTCTATCCCTTACCCCCTCCCCTTTTTTTTTTTTCACGATGATCCTCCGTAAAACTGCTACCATAATCGCATTGTCTTACCTCTCTCTCTCTCTCTCCCCGCGTACAGCCAACAGGGTGTAGAATGCAAGAAAAGTTTTATTCATTATGGCCAGGGCACATTATACGGCCCAATAAATTAATACATCTGTGTGTCTCTCTCGCCGATGCCCCTCCGTTGTCCCATGCACCAATGGTAACGGAGACCCGTCACGTTCAACATCCCCGCTTTTCTTAACAGTTGCTCTCTCCAAGAAAGCAATTATCCCGATTTTTCCTACAACTTTCCTCACGCTTATCTGGCTCCCAGGTTGTGTATATGTATTATATAGCTCCGAAAAATTCTCGGAAGCCCGCACAAAGCACCCAGTCAGCAGAATCCCTCCCGAACCTCCCTTTCTTTCTTTCTTCCTTCTGCTTTAAAAGAAAAAAAAAAGAAAAATAATGGATCCAAAAATCACATTCACACACACACACACACGGTCGCAGAGACGCAGTGTGTGCCCCCGATGATGTTTGATGTGTAGCGCGCATATATATATGTATACAAGCGCGTAGCGGCCATAGAGCGTCATGGGCATCAGCGGCCGCAAGAGAAAGAACTCGAGAGATAGAGAGAGAGGAGGGCCCCTCGATCGGTTGTGTGTGTGTGTGTGTGTGTCTCTCACCTGACCTGCCCGGTTTTCGCTCGGCTCGCTCCCTTTCTCTCTCTCTTATCTTGGCTCTCCCCCCGTTCATTGGGAGCCCGTTTGTGTGTAAACGACACACGATCGGCTCCGTGAAAAAATCGTGGGCCCTTTCATTATAAAATCGGTACAACTTCGAGACTCGATTCCCTTAGTTTTCGTTCGGATGGGGAAAGAAGAAGAAGAAGAAGAAACAAAGGCATGAAAAGCTATATGTATTTCGGAAAAGTCGATATTTCAAAAGGCATCGTCGCACGCTGATTTTTCCTCATCCATCACCATCGTACACATAATATACAACCGACGATTTTTCGCGGAATCGCTCACGCGCGCGCCTCTTATCTGCGTCCTTATTCGGACAACTGCTCTCTCTCTCTCCCCCCCCCTTCCCTCGTTTCCTTTCTTTGCTCCTCTTCTGTTTCTACGTTCGTGTGTCTATACGTGAGCTTCTCCCCCCCTCCCCCGTTCTCTCTCTCGTCGTCGATTAGCCATTCGTTCGTCCGCTCATCCGCACCGGCTCTCTTTCGATCGAACGTAAAATATATCCATGTGTATGTGCGTTAATGAAGATGCCAGTGATTTTATTATGTACACAAGTATAAATTAATCCGCAAACTTATCGTGCCCCGTAAACACGTGTATAGCCGCGCATGCTCGACATATCTTCTTTTTCTTTCTTTTTTTTTTTTTTATCTAAAAGATACACAAAGTTTCGTGTATGCGCGCTGGCAAAATATTGGCTCGGTAAACATTTGGAGGAAAAAAAAAAAAAAAAAAAAAAGAAAGGTGCCGGTCGCGCGCGGTGTAGCCTATACACATAAATTACGGCGGGGCACTCAGTCGAATTGAATTTCACACGGAGGACGAGAGAGAGAGAGATAAGACGCTCTCGGAGGAGGAGAAAAGCCCGCGTGTTTTACACAAGGGGCTTTCAAAATTATCACAGGTTTTTTTTTTGTTTCCTATGCTGCACATTTTCACTCGAATTATATACACCACGTTACAAGAATGCTTACCTCGAAATAAAAAAAAGAGAGGTGGGACCCACGCTGTCTGCTGCACGCGTTCTTTCTTGATTTTTCTAACGGTACACCCCCCCCCTTTTTTTTCCCTGGGAAGAGTGTTAAGAAACACCTATCTGCGGAAAATCTCGGTCCGTCCCGAGCGTTTTTCCTTGTTTTTTCTTTTTTTTTTTTATTACCTGCCAACTTTCTCGCCCCCGCAGCTATAACTGCAGCTTTTTGTGTGTACCTTACACCGAGCGAGGGGCAATGAAAAATTCATAAAAACGTCCAGCATGTCGCGCAGTCGTTGGCAAAAACACGTGTTTTTCTCCTTATCCTATTTTTTTTTTTCGCCATGTACGAAGATGATGAAAATCAGGACACACAATACTTAAAACGAGGTTGTGCCTATTTTTTTTTTTTTTTTTTTTATCGGATGGCCTCGGCGTATCATCATCCACACGCGGACGTATACCAATTCTAATTCGACGTGCGATCGAGCAAACATGTATAAGACGTACATAAAAAAAAAAAAAAAAAAGTATATACAGGGGGAGGAGGAGGCGGAGAGAGTCCCGCGTATATATGTTGTACCGTTAGCTCGGCGCTCTCGCGCTTCATGAGAAAATCCGAACGATTCCAGAGCGAAGGCCCCGAGATAGATATATATATACACCTGTACACCTTGGGGGAGATAGCGCGCGGGCACTCTTTTATCTCATCGAGCATCGCCGGGAGAATCCGAGGATTGATTGATGCCATACGGAGAGAAATTCTCTCAACGTATGGAAAACTCGTTACGATATCAACGCCCGTGTGTTCGAGGGTGGTGGAGGGGGGGGGGGTTCCCCGAAAAGCCCGGCTTATGCAATACCGCGTAGCCTTCTCCGGCCGGCGGCGAGTTTTTGTTACTAAAATAACTCCTCGCCGATAAGTATCTCGAATCGTTTGACCCCAAAAAAAAAAGGAGGAAAATTTCGGGTCAGGGGGGGGGGGAGAAAAAAAGCAACGCATCACCCGAAACCGCGAGCATCGGAGGGAGGGAGGGAAAGAATAACACAAGATATCCTGGACCTATAGGAAGGAGGAGGGAAAACTCGGAAAAATGGTAGCGCCCGGCTAATACATTGTGTGTATATATGCATACCGGAGTCAGCCAAAAAAGGGCAGGTGTGCGCACGAGGGACCCCCGAATTCCATCCTTCGGTCCCAACGTGTATTGTTTGCCCTTCCATTCCCTCCTCCCGGTAGCCATATATACACTACTTTATTTTTTTCCTTTTCTTTTCTTCTCGAGACGCGCATCCGGTCCATACACAAACACACGCTTATACACACACATACGCCTACGCGGGGACGGCAGTGCTTGCACAAGATAAGAAAGCAAAGCTTGTCTCCTTGATTCCCCGCTGTTTGCCCCGAGACCACAAGCGATGTGTTTGATTTTCGGATCCGAGGCTACCGCGCGCCGCCGCTCGGCTTTTTCCCTCTTTCTCCCTCAAACACGTGTTCTAGGTATAATATACATGTGCGTTTGCCTAATGACCTTCTGCTCTCTCTCTCTTTTGCTACCTTCTCTTTTCAAAAAACAAGAGTAAAGTGCCCCGGGGTGTGTATACATATATAAGGTGTATGTAATCGGAAAACCGCAGCTGCTGTCGCCGACGAGAGATAAGCCGAGTAAGCGCTCGCTCGGAATTGGGCCGCGCTCGGGGAAATGTCGCAACAACGCACGCGCTTTCGCAACTCGGCCCACGACGTTCTTCTTCTTTGATTTTTGCACAATAAGAGCATTCCTCCAGTACAAATATACAACAAGTGCCTGTATACGTTTGATTGATGTTTTTTCCTTTGTTTTTTTTTTTTTTTTTTTTTTTTTTTTCCCCCTGGAACAGCAAAACTCGGACAACAGCAACCCGTCGAGTCCGGCGAGCGTCGGTGGTACGCCAGCCAGTGGCAATGGCACCAACAGCAGTAGCAATAGCAGCCGAACTCGCAGGAAGCAGAGCTTCCCGAGCCGAGCGCCGCCGAGTCCCAACGTCCATTACCACGTGGACGACGTCAACGTGGACCACGACGAGTTGCTCAAGGACAGGCTAGCGCCCACCTCGTACGTCTTCGGTGTCGATCCCGCCGCTCGTCACCGACAGCAGCAACACCATCAGCGCCGGACAACTTCCAGTCCCGTCGATCACCACCTGGTCAAGCTCGAGCGGCCCGACCACATGGAGCAGATCCGTCGGATGCAGCAGCGCGCCGACATGCTCACGACCAACGGTGGCGTGCCCGGCCCGAGCAACTGCAAAACCAGTCCGAGCAACAACAATAACAATAACAACAACAACAACAACAACAACAACACCAAGCCCACCGCGAACAGCCGAGCCAGTCCCAACAGTAGCTCGAGGATCATGAAGGACATGACGTGCACAAACTGCGGGACCCCGACCACGACCATCTGGCGGAGGAACAAGCAGGGCGAGGTCGTGTGCAACGCGTGCGGGCTGTATCAGAAGCTCCACGGGATCAACAGGCCCATGGGTATGCGTCGCGACACGATTCACACCCGCAGACGCAGACCCAGGGGTGAGAGGGCGCCCAGGAGTCGGAACCGTAAGTCGCAGAACGCCAATCCCGAGGAGGCCGGGCAGCCGCATTCCCAGATGCCGCAGGCTCAAGGTGGACGGTCGTTGGTTTCGCAAGCTCCTCAGGCACAGCAGCCGGTGATCGGGCCGAACGGCGCGGTTTTCATGGATGCCCTGGGCTTGCGAGCTCAGCCGAATCTTATGATGGCCGCCATGGTCAATCGCAACCTGATGCCGCCGATGCCGGACATATCGGCCCTCCCGCTGGCTCTGATGCTGCAGGTACGTTGTACAGCCGTTATTAATCAGGGAGAGCGGATCGGTAGTATCTCGGTCTAATGGGTTGTTTTGTGTGTTTTTGCAGCCGCGTTTGAACGAGGAAGCCATCGCGGCTTACAGGGCCCAGGAGAACAACAGCAGCGGCGAGGAGAACGTCCTCGAGGCGCCCCTCAACCTCGCCGCGACGCCAAGACCGGCCACGGTGCCCGAGGAACAGGCGCACTGACGGCCGCTCAACGTCATCGGTTGGACGCGCAAGCTCAAGAATCTCTGCTACAGGAAGAAACGAAGGAGATTACTCCGCTATCGAAGCAATAGACGCTTTTTTTTATCGCGCGTGCAGATATCGTAAGTTATGAATGACACTGCATCCACGCGTACACGTATATGTGTGTGTATCTATTTTTACGAGACCTCGAAGACTAACGGAGAAAATCGAGCTTGGTGGAACAATTGCATCCCCGGGCGAGGTTTGGTCGAAACGAATCTATTGATATTATGTCGAAAACGCAGTATTATAGGGAAAGCGAGGATTTTATAGGCGACCGATGAGGAATAAACAATCAAGTTTCGATGTTTTTGTACATAAATAATGCGAAAAGAGTATACGACAGACAGCAGAGGGAGAGTGTAATGGCGAGATATTTTTTTTTTTTTTTTTTTTTTTTTTATAGGAAAAAAGTCGCGGTTATGTACATAAGCGATTGAGGCACAGAAAACTGTTTTTCATTTCGAGATAACGAGTCATCTCGTTTAATTATTATTACTGATTGATTTTAAGTGCTCTCTAAACATCTCGTAATCTTTAAATTGGAAAATTATTTCGCTACAGGCTTCGATCAAGGGCATTTGATTATTATTATTATTATTATCATACACTCGACGTGTAAAACGTGTACTGAGAAAAATTTCGAATATCGGCTTGATTTCGAAAACACCTAAACGCTCGAATTACCGTACTATTTTACCATCGTACGGTGTGTCAATTAAATTCAAGAGATTAATAATAAAAACATCACTTTTCGTATACTAATTAACGTATGAATATTGACAGCTTGATTAAAGCTGATCTTCATTGAACAAATTTTCATCAATGGCTCTCTTGAAAGATCTGTACATATTATTAGTTGATAGAGTGTGTGTTGAATAGTTGATTTTTATTTTTTTAAGGAAATAAGTCGTCTTCAGGCCGCAAAAGATTATGTATATATTTTACCAAACGTCTTGTAACGAAATTTTTAATTTTATAACAAAACACCTTAATTTAAAGGTAGATGATTAGCTTTTAGTGAGTATTACCTTAATATAAATGCGCTCTTTTTTTCATTACAATAACAATAGAGATCCGAGAAAGGCTCACAATAAATAATAATGCGTAAAGAGAATCAGCAGTTAAAAAAAGTGAGATGTACAATGAAAGATAACGAGTATTAAAACTTTTATTGTGTACTTAAGCGTAGGAAAGAAAAAATTTTGTTCATATTATTTATTTTTACCCTGTGTTTGAAGGCTTTTCAACTTTTAAAAAGATCTTTTACAAATAATTTGTTTAATCTGACAAAAATTAACTTTAGCCCACTCATTTAGAATGCAATTACCGCGACAATCATGATAAAAATTGTATTCCAAGGTTCTCCTTCAAAGTTACGAATTGATTCTCTCGTTGCCTTACTGCTGCTACTTGCTCTCATTTCTCGCGCTAAGATTCTTTAGTTACGATTCTTTCCCCATTTATTTCGTTGTTGTAGTCAGAAACGGGTATTATGAAAAAGCAAAACGTCTTAAATACTAGTGCGTAATGAATAAACGAACACACACGTAAATAAAAGTAAATGGCCAGTGCATCGATTTTAGATGCGCCCTCGTAATACATAAACCTAATGTACTTTGCCAAAAATAGTTTTTAGTTACATAGACCATTATTTTACTGTAATTAAGTATATTACTACATATTTTTGTCCCCAGTACTTTATCCTTTACTCTTTTGTTTTCATCATAAAATCAGTAACATTCGTAAAAATTCTTTACAATGAAGCCAACAATTAGGTGAAATGAGAGACCTTTTCCAGGTAGCAGCAAACGGAGTCTAGTTGTAGTCAGTGAGTTGTTACAAATTGTTGACACTTGCATAGATACACGATATATCTAAGTATACTAATGTAGAATAACAAAGAAAATCCTGAAAGTTATACATGTGAGTTTGTCTGCTGCATAATCCTGCACTCAGTAACACGAGTGTTTGATAAACCGACGAGGCATTTTTTTACCTTTTCTTTCATTACTCTCGTTACTTCTACCATTTATTAATACTTTTTACTTATCAAACACTGTATATGTGTTACTCGAGCCAAGTATCAAAGCATAATTGTGAGATTTCGCGAATTTGAGGGTCTTCAGACTCTGTCGCGATGATGATTTTAATTAAAAATGAAGAGATTAGCGAAGCAATAATGTATAGTGCCACTGCGACGTAGTAATTTTTTTTTTTTTTTTTTTTTTTTAACTTAAATCACTTTACAAACCGTTCTTACCGATTAAATGTATGTAAAATTTTTAATTATAAATAAAAAGTTAATAGTTAAAAGTTCATAATAGTAAATCAAATTTGCGCTCGTGATATACTCGTACACGAAACGAAGGCTATACATTATGTACATTTCGTCAAAGGCATTGGACAGTTGTAGGCATTTTTTTCCTTTTAACTATTGTTGTCACCTTTACGAATTTTTGTTTTTCTTTAACCATAAACAACAAAAAGCCCTAGAGGAACTTCGTTGCAAATAATTTTAATAACAATAGTAATAATAATATTAATAATAAAGATAATAATAATGACAAATAAGGGCTTTCGCGCGTTTGTACATATAAATAGTAATAAATTATATTATGCTCCGATAACCAGATAAACAAAAACAAGCATAAAAATTATTCTTTGAGAAGCTCACCCTCGAGTCTTGAGGATATTTTTGTAATAACCATGATAAACTTAAACTGACCGAGTATTGCTATTTTGTTATTGAATGTATGAAAATAAAACGAAACTTAATAATTATTATATAATATAGAGAATATATTACCGATCGATCGAGAGGCGAGTTGTAACACGTGGCATTAAAAAAAAAAATGATAATGCAGTTGACGGTGGAGTTAAAGGGTGTATTGTTGTTACGACTGATTCAGATAAAGTGCAAGAATTTATATACACTTAATCGAGCGCTGCGATAAAAAAAAAAAATTACACCCTTGAGCCCATCGTGAAAAAAAAAATAATAACGGCGCAGTGGAGGCTTTTTTAATTTTTAACGAATGGATTTCGTTCTCTTACTCGTTATCAGTATTCCAGATTCATATGGTTTTAGTGGACGTTTTTATAGTAGATTATTCTTTTTTTCCCTTAGTTTTAATGTAGTACTCTTGATTTTTTTTTTTTTTTTTTTTTTGCTACTTTCCGCGTGAATTTTGTAAGTTNATTCGAATAACATGTGATGAACCGTTGGCGAATACATTTTGTAAACGCGCATGTAATGTATGTAAAAAATAAGGAACTAATTTCTTCATATTCTGCGACATACGGAAAAAAAAAAAAAAAAAAAAAATATGGATTATAAAAAAAGCTTGCATCGTTTCCGTCCCGAGCGAAAAAGCCTTGAGAAAGAAAAAACTTATTTACTTACTCAATGTATAAAGAATATTTTTGTAATTTTAATTGTGCGACTAAATACTTACAGCTTTTTTTGCAGTGATTAGTTTTTATACACCTAATTGTTTGAGAATAACAGCGACAAAGTAACGATCAAAGTCACGTGTGGAGACTCGAATATTATTTTTGTACATCAAAGCGTGAAAAAAGTTGTAAAATGCGTAAAAAGTTGTAGAGTCAAAGGCAGCTACTGCGGTTCGAAATTTCCGTGTCAATAAATCGAGAGTATTATGTACGAAAAAAGTGTTACAGAAGTGGTCGACCTTTTTTTTTTGAAGCTCTAGGAGAAAAGAATTCAAACTTTATCGGCAGGAATTTCCGTTTCATTAAAAATCATATATTTTTATACAAGGGAATACATAATGTGAAAAATTTTCATATTTATCTCAAAGCGTGTATAATTACCAATGTATGAATTTTTCTCTCTCGTGGGCTTGGTCCAGCAGCTGTTGAGATTATTCAAGGTTGTGTGTATCATTATAAGTATTTTTACAAGAAAATGTAAGCATTGTTGATTAGTGTAAGAACTTATGCGAGCGAACAAAATGAGGATTTTCCCTTGAAACATGCCTTAAAAATTGCAAACATTATTTTTTTTTCCCTTTCAGAAGTGTGTTTGTAATTTTATGCGTCAAATATTGTGATTTTTGACAACCACTGATAATAAATTGAATTTTTAATAAATACAATGATAAACAGTATTAATTATCTAAAACAAATTTTTTGTATAATTGAATGAAAAAAAAAAAAAAATTGATATTTTTCTGTCCAAGTACCTATATGAATTTACATTTGTTCATTTAAATCGATATATGATTAGTGAGAAAAAATTACATTGACAGTGCCTTTGATTGACAAAATGAAAGTATCAAGGAAAAATTCAGGGAAATCCTCTACAAGTGTTATACTTACCTACGTGACGTCAGGACAAAGTAGTTCAATTATTAATGATAGCGAAATGTATTTTAAAAATAACAGAAGGTCAGTCCTGAAACCAATATTTTTAAAGCTATTTTCGTTTGCTTAAGCTTAACGGATCAATCACTCTGAGAAAATGAGAATACCAATTTTTCAATTTTCCAAGAACGACAAGCAAAGAAAGAAAGAAAGACACGAAAAACCCTTAATTTTCTCTAATCTAACACGCGCCAGTTTTCAGCCAACATTTTCTCCATGAATACTTTTCTTAATTAATATGTATTGTACAAAACTCGTGAACAAACTAATGTATAGTTGATATTTTGTACTTTGCAAGAGAGGCCCCCCATCGAGGTTTTTATTTAATACATAATGCACAAGACGCAAATTTACTTAATTTACGATTTTATTTTTATTTATATACTGCACGTGTTTTTTTTTTAATTATCAATAATAATTAATTATTAATTATTTTATAAATTAATGTAGGACTAAAAGTATGGACGACACTCTTCCGCCAGTCTCCATCTTACAAATTTTCGTTAACGCTCTCTTACCCCAGCATATTATTATGTATAAAAAAAAAAAAAAAAAAATTATTTAAGGCGTAACTTAATTTATGTAATGTAAAGATTGCCAATCGTAAGAATCTCAATTCATCTCGGCGCAAGCTTCGTCTCTTTTCTTTTTTATTTATTTTTTTTCTTTTAACCATATACTCTCTGGTATGCGAATCTCACGTCTGTATATTATATCGAGCGCGCGAAAATATGCATTTTCACGAAATTACTCGAACGAGACGAGTATCTCAATGTACTGAAAAAGAAAAAAAAAGTTACGCATGTAAATTAACGTTTGTAAAATATGAATCATCAGTTTAAGATACTTGAGATGCTTGTCTCAAATAATACACACAATTGGCGTATACAATATTATACATGTGCAGCATCCAGCGATGATTTACGTTTCTTTATTTTATTTAAGCACTGTATTTATTCGAATAACATGTGATGAACCGTTGGCGAATACATTTTGTAAACGCGCATGTAATGTATGTAAAAAATAAGGAACTAATTTCTTCATATTCTGCGACATACGGAAAAAAAAAAAAAAAAAAAAAATAACAAATCTGTTGAAGCTATGGACATTTGCTAGGCATTTTTCGAACAAATGTCACCAGCGTCTATGAAAAATCTTCATTTTTTTTAAAAATAAAGAAAACGTTACAATTAAACTTGTAGTACCATATCTGTTCATTCCGTGTTCCTCATTATTAACAACCTCGTACACCTTTATGTTTCGGCAGACTATGTCCAGTGCACACAAGGATTGTACACAATTTTATTGTTCAAAAATTTTCGTTCGCAAAATACATCCCACATGCTAATGAATCACGACCACACCAATAACCCCAAAGTATTTTATCAACATTTTTTTTCTGTACACACAATATCTAATCTTCATAGGATGTGCAAAAAACGTACGTTGATTTAAGCCCAAATATTGTGCACATATTTTTGGTCTTTTTTCATGAGTGTGCAATATGCTTACTTACAAAAAATTGCACACAACAAAAACGGACATACCCTGCGGCTGCCTCATGTTTCTATGAATCATCAATTTTCAAATTTTCCTGCTATCCGCATATTCCACACACACATACACTAGCGTAGTACATCCGTTTCCCCCCACTCCTAATGATTTAGCGTCGGACGAGCTCCTCTTCGTCTACCATTGTGCCGTCATCCATCTTGTTTTCCTTGACGACGACCGGACGACGACGCATCGGTCGACGGAGGAGAATTCGTGTTCTAGTAATCGTTCGTGCGTCCACTCCTGGATCAACATCCAGAGAACCGTCTACGAGCACATCTCCCAGCATCTACGTATTGCCCTTCTCAAAGGACCAAAGTTCACGGTGAGTGTGCTGTTGCTGAGAATGCTGAGCTGCGGACTCGCGTACGTGTGGGTTACATACGTGTATACAATATATCGTAACGTTCCACGATGGAAGCAAAAGCTGCAAATTGCCGAAAGGAAGATATATATATATTCATACATATAGTAGCTGAGTCGTCTGTTTTCCGAATTCTTATCGAGAGAAAATTGTTTAAGAGGTATCTGGTACACGAGGTGTACGCTATTTCGGAGTTTTTTTGCTTATACCATATAACCTTCACGTGCTGTCTTTATGTCTCTAACGTTGTCTGTCCTCCTCTTCTCCCCTACCTCCTCCCTACAATTAACCATAATCGGACGGTTTTTGGTCAGTTTTTCAATTCGTGCTTCCTTCCGTTCATCCCCAAACATTTCCGAGTCCTCCCCACGCCAATTGTTTTTGTGGTCGGTCAATAACGTCGAAAGTTGTTGCAGAAATAAACAACATCTGGTAGGAGAGAACTGTCGTAAGAATGAGTTACGGAAGACCGCCACCCCGCATCGACGGGATGGTCTCGCTGAAGGTCGACAATCTAACCTACAGGACGACACCAGAGGATTTGAGACGCGTCTTCGAGCGTTGCGGTGAAGTCGGCGACATTTACATACCCAGGGACAGATTCACCAGGGAGAGCCGTGGCTTTGCATTCGTTCGGTAATTAATTAATTTTTTTGACAGATTTTGTACTGTACAAATACTGTAATTAATTCTTATTATGTTTTACTATTTAACAATTTTTTCATTCTTGATTAAAGTGATTTTTTGACTTAAGGACGTTCTTCACATAGTAAGAAGGGGAAAGTTCAGAGAAGTGAGAGGAACATTAATGTGTGCTGTAAAGCTAGCAATTGCTTTTTTCATGTGGATCTTCTCACATACACGCTCTTCCGCATACTTCATCCCCTCTTTTTAGACTCATTTAAAAACCAACTTGCGGTTTTATTTGAAAATTCGATAGGTTTATATAAAAGTAATTTTTTGTACTTAAAAAATTGAGAGATTCCTAAAAATCATATAAAAGCCATTTAACGTGATGTTACACAAGGTTACATGTTAAGTATCGATTTTTTAAAATGTAACATATATAAAATATTGGTACCGTCAAACAAGCTGCAATTTATGTGGGTATTTTTTATGCTATTTCAATATACGTTTGCCGTTTGAATAATGTCTGTTAAAAATTCTATGAGTGATGAACGTCCTGAAGGGACATTCATTGGCATGTAATACTACCCTATTGAAGAAAGCTATTCTACAGGACGGTTTTTTTTTAAATTCTCTACATACAATTATACTTTGGTCATACCTCAGCAAGGTCAGAACCTTTAAACAAAAAAAAATTATACTTTGGATATTAAATATGGACTAGAAATAAGTGTGGAATCGTATATAATAAATGCGAGGGTGATGTTACAGATGCCATCAGGGTACAGACAGTACAGGAAGTTGTTTTGAAACCATCGGAGGATTTGATGAAAACGCAGTCTTGTACTGGCCAGCCTACATATTATTTTTATTGTTTTGTGCCGTAACATATTTTTTATAATCATCATTAAGTGTTAATTAAAATCATACCCAATCAAGGTAGGTATACTCATTCCCACAATAGTTGCACCACCTTCGTACACAATATTGTTTCAAAGTATTTTTATACTCAAAATTATATTATTTGCCGTATAATTCTATAAAAGTATAACTTCATACTTGGCTACACACGCACCCACTGTCCTCTGGTTTGTACCAAGAAGTGTTAAGAGTATACATAAAATTTATAACTAAAAACGTTTTACATTACGTGTCAACACACTGCAGTGTTCTATTCAGTGAGTCTCGAGCGAAGCTAAAATGGGGGGGGAAGGTAGTAATACATATTTTTTATAAATAAATTTTAAAATTACGGATTTGTTATAAAAAAAATTGTTTTCTTGTTCTTTGACAAGTTTTAAACAAAAAACCAATTAGAACGCATACACCTAAGCCCCAAAGTTTTCGAGTAAACAATATCTGAAGTTTTGAAAAATGTATTTANATAAATGCATTATCTTTATAAATTATTTTCTACAGATTCTACGATAGGCGCGATGCCGAGGATGCGCTAGAAGCCATGGACGGTCGTCCGCTGGATGGCAGAGAACTTCGCGTCCAAATGGCACGGTACGGTAGACCAACCTCACCGCACCGCAGTCGCGGAAGTAGACGCTATAGAAGGTAGTTTATCATTATAATTTGTAGAGGAAGAATTTGTCAAATCAAATTAACTTGAATTTGTTTACAACTCTTTTTTTGACGTTGTTTGTGTTAATTATTCATATTTTTATGTAAAGTAGAATCAATCAATGTTCCAGTAACTTATCTTGCTAAACAAATAATAATGATAGAGCATGCGCAATGTAAAACGAAGTGAGGTTTCACATGAATGACTCGTAATCTTTATTCTTTTTCATCTGTGAATTTGAATGAAATCGAACAAAAAGTTACTCCCGTTCCCGCAGTCGTAGCCGAGATCGCAGACGCTCAAGGTCCAGGTCTCGCTCGCGTTCACGTTCTCGCAGCCGAGGAAGAGATCGCAGGCGCAGTTACAGCAGAAGTCGCTCTGCTTCGCGCTCTGACAGCAAGAGTTCGCGTGGAAAATCAGGCAGCCGTAGCAAGTCGGTCGACAGACACCGAGATGCGCGCTCCAAGTCTAGGTGTGTAAAATAAAAAATTGAAATTTTTTTTTTACCTTTCTACAAACTCGGTTAATATTTTTGTCACTTTCTGTTGCAGAGATTGAAGCTGATGCTGAAATTTTGTCAATAACGGTGATTGCCACTACTGTCGCAAAAGCCGTGCAGTATACTGGATTAAATAATTAAAAGGTATTCTAATTATATCATGTCACTCAATGTCTTGTTCCAATATTATTTTCATGTTATAACTTCTACGTCCTTATTTACGGTGACGTTACTACCACATGCCTTGACTTTTTAATTTTTTTTCTAATTTTTTTTCACTTAAGTAATTTTGTACATGAAAAGGAATATTCTCAATAGTCGTGTCTATAATATTGCACTATCAAATGTAAATGTACGATTGAAACCATTACCACTTAACTATGTTAAAGTGTATGAAGAGATTTAGACTTTCTCTGTTGAATTGCTCTTGCCGTTGTCATGCTAATAATAAGTGTGAATCTGAAAATAAATCTATTAAGTGTAAGTAATCATTTTCATCTTTTATCTTATCGCGATTGTAAGGTTTCTGTAACGGCATCAAGTAAAATTTTCTCGAGTTGTGGTTTTCCTTTTTAATTTATTGAATATTGAATATTTGCTAATCTTACCGTAATGTGTACTATTAGTAGCCTTATTAATAACCTAACAAAGTAATTTTTACTTCTTAACTGAAGGTATAGATCAAAGTAGACATACTAAGACATGTTTTTGTTTGATGGTTGAAAAAAAGGAATTATCGATTGTATGTATAGATTAAATTGAAAATTTTTTACATATTCAGTAATTAAGTTTTCCTCACACGAAATGAAACAATACTTTTGTAAAATTTCTGTATAGTCCAAAATATCCATTCTATGTTCAGCTTTATTAGGTGTAAGTTCTGTATCCTTTTGTAATGTAACGAAACACGTGCACATACTGACTTGGCATTGATATAAATTTGTTGTTCATTTTCAATAACAAAAACTAAAACATCGACAAACCATTTTTAATCAAATACTTTCGAATAATAAAGTCAGAAATAATTGAATGCCCGTTAATATTTCATAATTTTTTTTTTTTTTTTTTTTTTTTTTTAAGAGCATGTTAAAAAGAGACAGAATTTCATCTACTAAGGCAGTCAATAATAAAAATTGGATATATTAGTACATTGGACCAACATAACGTATGTTATGATACACATGTATATTAAAGTTAAAAATGACATATATTGAATCGATCTTTTTCATTATTAAGAAAAAAAAAATGTAGTTCTCTACATTTGAATTCGTCATTAATACACATATGATTTTTTTTATATAATATACACATAAATTGTGATGATGAAATATCTATAAATTTACCTTGACCATAAATTTAGTCCAGTACAGTCACCTTATCCGTGAATCCAGTGAGCCTGTGAACTTCCTTATCCAACAATAACCGTACCACCATGAAAAATAATAACAT